CAAATAAAATAAATAAATGAAATAGAAATAAATAGAAATAATAAAAAAATTCAAAAATCATGCAATTAAACACATAAAATCACATGGGAGCACATAGAGAGATTTAAAATAACACGAGAAGATACCTCTCTTGACGTAGTAACTAATTGGGGTGTGGATTTGCCCTATTTAACTCCAAAATTAGCAAAAATCATCAAGGCACCAATTTAATTAACAAATAATTCATAAAAATGGAAATAAGCATGAAGTCAGTCAATTGAAGCGTTTAAATGGAACATAATTCATAATTAAAGAGGAAAAGCAACTTCTATTTAAGACAACAAATCCATTAGGGACATAATTGCAAAAATTAAGAAAGTTTTAGGGGTTACTTTGTAATTATCATAAAAGATTAGGGGTCAAAATTGAAGAAAATAAAAGCCCAGGGACCTATTTGCAATTAAATTAGGGACCTAATCGAAAGAAAAAAAAGGTTTTAGAGCCGTAACATAATTAATGAAAAGTAAAGGGACCATTATGCAAAACGTTTTCTGGTTCCTCGGTGAATCAGGCCACTGGGCCACTTTATTTCTTTTCTTGGGCCGAAACTCCCTTACCCCAAGGCAAAATCCAAGCAAAATGTACGGGCCAGACCGTAATCTTACCCCAACAAATCCAATCAAAAGGTAGGCTTTTACCTCCTAAGCCCAAACGAAAAACCCAAGTAAATTAATCCAAACCCATTTACTAAACCCAACCTGATCCTCAACATTAATCTGCCCCAAAAGCCCTAAGAAGATATTAACCCAAGCCTTTAATCTATTTTACTAATCCAAGAAGGTAAGAAATCTAAAAAAAAATGCTGGACCTTAATCATGCATTAAATCCCAAGATTAATCTACACAACAAGTCACATATCACAATCAGAAGAAGATTAAAATTTTAAAAGGGCAAAATTGGTTCAATTGCGAAAGTATTTGGGCCATAGTAAAACTAATTAAACCTTTGGGGGTCACAAATGAAATTTTTAAAAGTTTCCATGCATCCTGTTCGATGGTCTTGGCAATTCATTCTTTCCTTCTGCAACTCTTGCTGGGTTATCATTTCCGGCGAGAAACCGATCAAATATACAAGTCCAGAAAGCAAAAATGAAAAAATAATAATATCCCCAACAGCATCCAGATTCCATTTACTTCAAACGCCACATTTAAACATAAGCAAACATGGGAAATTTTCATCTCACAGCAAGAAAGAGAAAGTGACGGCAGTGACCCAGAAACCAAAAGCACAGCCCAACACCGAATAAAAATGAAAGGATCTAAGTCATCAATTTAGGATGGTACCTGATGAAGCTTTTAGGACCGGATTTGACCGAACCAACGCAAACGGAAGTGGATTTGACGAAGTCCTCCGGAAGGTTGTAGATTGAGCCGGGAGCGCTAAAGCAGCGACTTTGGAGCTCCGATTTGGTCACCTTGGAGGCGTTTTACTGCTCGATTTCTGAACACAATTTGCCCCCAAGTATACGTAGAAGGTGAAGGAAAAGAAATCTCTCTCTAAAAATTGGAGATTAGATTGTAATTTGACCGGAAACCAAGCTGTTTCGCCAACCTTGCCGGCAAAAATTTTTACAGATTTTTCTTCTTTCTTTCCCGATTTCTACCCTTTCTCTCTGTTTTTCTCTCTTTGTTCCTTGTTCCGCCGCCACCCACTTTCTTGGCTGCCTTTCATTCTTTTATAGCTACTAGGAGGCACAAAACGCGCTGCGCGCGTTGGGATAAACAGAAAATATGCCCACTTAGACATATGGATTCATGGAACAAAAATGTTTGTCAGTTAATAATTTGTGTACACAGCTAAATATAAATATACATGAATAAGTAGGAGGCAAAATTGTTTCACGAAAATAGGAATCCAAATCAGCTATCTTATCTTGAGCTTCAAATCCATAAGCTTCATTTCAAAATTTACTCTATGGTCAACCATAGAGTTAACCCATATAGAGTATATTTGACCTGAATCCTGATACATGATCCATATCAAAATTTACACCAAATTTCCCTTTATTCATATAGCAGTTGTATCCATGAAATCCTCCTTGCAACCGGGAGAAGAACAAAGAGGCCCGTTTCTTTGACGTTGACATGAAAATGAAGTCATCAATAAACCTTAAAAGCGGATATTTGCAGTGGTACATGACAGCTTTGTTCTCATGGTGGATTGCTGCAGACAAAGCATCACGTGTATCTTGGATGCCAAATGAATGTGTGGGAAGCTCCACAAACTTTCTCCAGATTTGTATCCAAAAACTTGTTCCTACTTTTTAACATCTCTTATGAAAAATCCAAAAGAAATCAAACAAAACTCCAGAAAAGATAAAACATCAAAAAGCAGCTAACAATCACAGCCAGATATTTAGCATAAGGGAAAGAACAAAGCATACAAGGAAAAAAGATGAAAAAATTAGCATTAAGACCATTGCATAGCAGCATTAGTAAAGCAAGGATCCAAGAAACACATAAAGGAGTAGGGGGGAAAGGCAATTCTCTAAGATTCCAACTCCGTAAAAAAATTACCTACCATCGAACAAGCGAAAAATTTAGGTAAAGCAAACCAGCAAACAACTGCAACCTTGAATTTTGGGCCATGGTACAATTTAAGAATTCAAGAGGGCTAACAAGAGTCAGTCAAGCCAATTTAGCCAACATACCGCTTTAGAATGTTGATGGCTTCTATTGCACCCAACATGCCAACTACCCCATCATATTTCCCAGAATATGGTATTGCATCAGTGCGAGATCCTGTTGAAACTGAAACTGGAGCAAGCTCAGTTTTGGAACCAGTCCTACAAAAAACCAAATGACGTTTGGGTTAAGTACATGTATAACAAGCAGAAGAGAATGAACAATGGATTATTACAAAAGAATTTTTCAATCAGATTAAATTTTTCCTACATTAACATCCAACGTCATTCTGCGAAATTGAGAATAATTCTTCTTAAACCACCAGTTCACCCTATAAATATGAAGTTTGGAGTTGATGATACTTAAAGTTCAAAATTTGGAACTTAACATCAACAATGTAATTTCAATTATACAACTTTTGAAGGGATTTCATCTTTTATTGCTTGAAATATTCTCAGTGCCAATTATTCTTTCTTATGGACCATAATTCACCAAATATCTCTCAAATAATCTTTTTAAATAGTTCAAAAGTAGTCAATCACTTTTCGAATTTTCAGTACCTTCTCTTTAAAAAAAAATTGCACAAAGAAAACAAATGGAAACAAATATTTCTTTCAACGTTAAAAATGGCAAAACTATGCATCAATTCCAGAGAATTAGACCTCTTAAATATCCTCAAGGCCATTTATAACCTGGCAATAGATAGAGAATGTAAAGCCAAATTGCTATGCACCATGAACCAATTTTTTTTTTGAATCGGTGAACCAAATTTTTAAGGCAGTCGGCTGCATATATTACCTTATCAGCAATTACAACTTTGTCTGGAATTTCTAATTTGGTTCCAGGTTTTGCAGTTATTGTCACTTTCCCCTTAAAACAAGGGGAAAAAAAAAGAAAAGAAGAAATTAATGCATATGCCATATGGACACTAAATAAGAAATAACAAACCACTGTACAACCACAAATTGCCACATCACAAGAAAATCTTCAAGGAACAGATACATCCATAAAGCTTCAGAAACAGGGTAACAGGGAAACAGAGTAATAGGGAGACAAGTAGTTAGTTTGTATTACCTTCAGGGTGATACCAGATCCAAACCACCATCACCACTCATCTTTAGGCTGTCTAGTTCAACAATACTGGGAATAGACTTGATACGACTTAAGAAGTTGCCTACCTAAAAAAGTGAAAAAAACAATTAGCTATATAAACAATTCAACCTGTGGAGAAAGATAGGGGGCTAAAATCTCAACCTTCTTAAATTCAGGTCCCAATTCATAGTTGGGTTAGTTGGATTTTTCCTAGCCTCGTTGCAGACCACATAGCCGTCATCAGACAAAGTGTACAGGTCGGACTGTAAAGGTTAAATGCATGAATAAATAGCAATTCATATAGTATTCAAAACAGAATTCAATAGCATGATCAAAGAACTGATTGGGGGTGGGGGCTGAAAGTAAATGATTTTACTTCTTACCTTTGGTTGTTGGTAGAGAGGAGACTGAATGTGAAATGCCATATTGATAAACCTAAATGGAAAGAAATGGAAAATAAAGATGTTTAAATGAATATCAAGAGATAAGGTTAATGTATCCTTATTGTAGCGCCAGTAGCAGTTTCAAGTTGAAGAACTTTCACCCCATCTACTTCCTATTAATCAGACAAAATTAAATAGAAGAACAAATACATTGGCAGAATGCAGAACGGATAGTTAAGAAATAGAACCTTTGGATTTGGAATAATCTCCATCTTCAGTGCACTTTATTGTACAAGTCTGTTGATTGCTTTCAAGTTCACCCATCTATATGATAGCAGAAATATATCATTCCATTGCATTTTCCATGAAGGAAGCATTGCCCACAGTGCTTGAAGCAAATAATATTTTAGCTTCAAATGAGAAGCATAACACTTACAAGTTGTTGGGATTGAAAATTTTGAACTTCCCTATCAACTTGAATTCATTCACCTGTAAAAAAAGAGGAGCAGCATAATCCTTTAATATCAAAATGATGCCTATGAAATTGTGTAACCCAAGAAAAAGATGTTACATCAAGAATGGGCTAATTCTGGATACCCTTGTTTAGTTGCCTAAATAGGTCGATGGATCTAACTCCACATTAAGTAAACAACCATACTGATTAACCTAACTGGTTATATGTAACGTGCTTATACCCCTACATACATCAATCCTGGGACCTTCTTATGTAGAAATAGTTATTTAAAGAAACAATGTTTAAATTGCACAAGATTGCATGCAGTATGCCAACAGTTAAAAGCATTTCGCTAAAAGGTAAAGAAACCAGAAGAAATTGAATCTCACATGTTCATCAGGAACTTCAGCTATTTCTAGAAGCTGCAACAGAAGATAGAAAATGAATTAATAGCAACTATTAAGCATGAAAATAGAAACATTCCAGTGCATCATTGAATATATCCATCTATCTCATGGCATGGTTTAAACCATTTAGCAAAATACAAGTAAGAAAAATACCATGTAAACAATATAGCATGTTTATCAATCTTGTCAAAATTTTACAAATATACCAAGTTTGAGTAGCTATTCCAATTTTCTCATAAGTACAATTTTAAATGTTCAAGTATGTATTAACCTACAAAAGAGTGAATATGGCAGGTAATTGTCCCTTTTATCTTTTGTAGAGTATACCTGCCGGTTTTAGTTTGGAGTGGCCAAGAACTTTCATCAAATCCCCGAGAAAGCACTTTCTGCAGCTGAACCCTAATAGATCAACAATAATAGGAAAACAATAATAAATCATCTAAAAGTATAGAATACAGGGAAAACAAAAGGCAGAAAGTTAAAGAAGACATTATTCTAAATGCAAAGGCTGGTTCGATATTGAAAAAGAAGTAAATTTGCATCACTAATCGGAGGCAGAAGCCATACTAACACAAATAATAGTCATCTTTAGATGGATTTTATCGGACAAAAAACCAACAGAAAATTTCGGGGCAGAAAAATCAAAACAAACAACCATGAAACAAGCAAAAAGAACAGCTGATAATTACAAAAAGTAGCAACACCACAATAGTTCAAACATGGAAGGAAAAAAAATGGAGAGAAATGACAAAATAATGAAGGCAGTACCTTAAAGGACTTAAGATTCTTCAATGCTAGCAGCTATCACCACTATTAAAAACACCAAACCATCCATTCACCATATTATGCCACTTATATGCCCCCAACCCCACCTTTCCCCTTTTCCTGAAACGAATATTGACCCCCATACCTAGAATAAGCAAGTTTGAGCCTAAGCTCTATCCTTGAGGCTTCATTAGTTCTGCATTTTATTTTTCCTTATAAATGGCATTATTGTAAAGAAAGAGCAATCAACATAAAAGTTAGTTTAAGTAGAAAAAACCCAATTAACTTACTAAACAAAACTTACACAGTCATCATGCCTTCCTTAAGAAAATTTATGTAGTTTGTAAATTTCAGTAAACATGTAAATTTAACTTAAAAATGCATGCAATAACTAAACCGCAAACAATTGACAAGATAATGAACAAGAATGCCTGAAATGATACCATGAAGATGATCTTCCAATGATCCCAAGGGCATGAACTAATAGACAAGTAGCCTCTGGTCCCTATTAGCACAGTAACCAATTAAATTTACAAGGTTAGAATGATATAAAAGACTGAACATAAGAACATCAACCAAAAATTCCCGGTTACCTTAGAGTCTATTTCTATCCAATTGCTTAACTGCAACAACCTGTCCATTCCAGTAATCCAATTAATTAGCAATAATAAACTTGAAAAGCAGCCAGAAAAATTTCGGTAGAGGCATTTCTAATAAAATCAATATTGCCATTCTAAAAAAATTTCAGGAAAATTCAGAAAAAAATCCTATGAAATGAAATAATTAGGAAAAAAATTAGAGAAAATCGCACATACCTCACTCTACTACTTTAGCTTGAAGATCTGGGATTGAATATTTTCTTTCAGATCATCTCTAAGAGGGCCACCACATATCTACACTCTAGCTGCATTCCAGAAAAAACAAGACAAAACATCGACGCAACCAAATAGAAGAGAGAAAAATAATCACTAATTAACGGAAAGTAACGGAAGAACCGAGGTAGTACCTGAAACAATAGAGAGGAAGCAGCAGTCAATGCTTCACTCTCGGTTCTATATTTGACCGAAAAATAAAAGTCAACAAATCAAAAGTAATCCCAGCCAAGACAAAGTCGGCAGTCTCTCAGCCAAGGAACGAAAATAAAAGACGATTGTGGAAAAGGTTAGGTATCGTTTACAGGGTTTGAAGCTTCAAATGTTAAATGAAAACACGGAACAAATAGGCAGTTGGCACGGGTAGTGGAGGCCTATGCTTTGTTCCTTCATCTAGCTGTAAGCTTGGGCCGGATGGACGGGTGGAGTGCTGTGGATAGAAAAGAAAAGCCTAGGGACCAGCAGAAAGTGGCAACTGGTAGCTTTTAAATTCTGTGATGTCCGGAGCTGGGAGACATGACAAATTGGTCGTAGTAGCCGGTGTGGCGAGTTGAGTGGGGAATTGGGGACGGCAGGCAGGCGCAGTAAACATGAGAATAAAGAAAAAAAATAAAAAAGTTGAAGTAATATTCAAGAATAAAATCAAAGAGTTGGAAGGAAAGAAGAAGGAGAGATAATAAAGATTTTGAGAGCAAGAGGAAGAGGGAAAGATCTGATCAAGGACTGTTGGGATCGGTTTAGCTTCTGAGGATAAAGGTGAGGCGAAGGAGAGAAGGGGAGAAGAGAGAAAGCGGCGGCGGCGGAGGAAATTTAAGAAAACCCTAGAGAGGAAGTATTTGGCGCATTGCGCGGAAAAAAAGAGGCTGGTGACTCACATGTGCGGCACGTGAGAGGACGACGAAAACCATTCCAGGTCATCAGAGGCCTTCGGCTCTTTATCTACTTATGTTGATAAAATCCCCCCACAACCTAGAATTAAAGGAGGAGATTGGAGCTGCATTTTTCTTCCAATTTTCTGAGCCATCCGATGGCCTCTGTTTTGGAGAAATCTTGATAGAAATCAAAGGGGTGAGCTGGCCAATGGTTGAGGAGAAGAAAAAACAAAAACGAGTGGATTTGGAGGCCAAAAATGGCCTCTGCCAAATTTCTGCTGTCATCCCCGTTCATGGCTTCGTACCAGGTACGAAACCATGAAGATGAAACGCGCGTGCGGCGCGCGCGCGCGTGGCAACCCTTTTTTTTTATTATTATTTAGAATTAGTTAAACAACAGAAATTAATTCTTAATAGAAAATTTATTTCCATTAAAGTGCTTTAAATCCAAATCTAAAGGGCTAAAACAAATTTTTAATTTTGTGAGGATTTTTCCTTTTTCCAATTATCAAACAATAAACTTAAATATAAAAGAAATAGAACATATATTTTTTGAACCATTTTCTTCTCCGACGAATCTCAATACTAAAAAGTCTTAAAATAAATTAAACGACTAAATGAGCAACAATAAATAAATAAAATAAAAAACTAGAATAAAAATAATAAATAATAATAGTAATCTAAAATACAATAAAATGCTGAAAAAAAATGCCTGAAACAAAAAAAAAATCATGAGATTAAAAATAGATGATAAAAATAAGAACAAGATTTTGTACAGTTTAGAAAACCACCACGACCTTATTGTGCGGCACTTCAGCCCCAAAAGTATGGTTGTACAATGCCTCCGAGTCTCCCAAGGACTTGAAAGACCTTGTTTTCTCAAATTCTTCCAAGGTGTCCTCTCTCAAGCTGGTCGTCTCCTCTGTACTGGAGCTTTTCTTGTCTGACGGGTCGATTCTCTTGACTTCCTCAAAGTTTAGCCACCTTGTTTCTTTGTGGGTCCAAACTATTCAATGTATAACTAAGAAGAGAGGATTAACGTATTATTTCTTAACGAAGTGCTCGGTGGAAATTTGTTTGTAACAAACATGTCAGGTTATCATCTTGGATATGTAATTACAGTTTGATTTATGGTGAAAATGAACTGATTTGCCTCTAAACTTTCAAAAAATTACAAAAAGGAATCGACACCTAGTCTACTTCGATGGTTCATAGACGACTGCTTCAATAGCCCACTCCATTCCACCATTAGAGAAAAGTTCATTGGAACATTGTTGATAAGAGAGGCATCACAATGGGAGCCATAAACGATCCGCTCTACAACAACGAACAAATTCTTCAATATGAATAACTGAAAGAGAAAGTGAAAAACTAATTCAAACATGAAATAAGAAAAAAATACTATAATCGTGAATAAACTACACCATATCCTTACCGACAAAAAAATAGAAATGCCCTCTAAAGAGTGAGTTTCCTCCAACTTGACTTTATTCAAACTAATTTGGAGGAAGCCTAGCATCACTGCTCCCATGCAAAACTTTTGATCCTATTAATATCTTTCGAAAAGTTTAAATAGACAAGAGGGACTGTATTATTGGAAGAGGAAAGAATTAATGATCCTGTCAAATATAGAACTGGTGTTAGCATAGTAGCATCGTCTTTCTGATCAAATTTATGGAACATCTCCCTTAGAGACTTCAAAGTGGATCCCCTCTTTCGTTTGGTTAACTTTTGTCTTCCACCTTTCAATCTATCCTGTGAGGACCTGAATTTTTTAATTTTACTTACTTTTATTTAATTTTACTGGCTTATTTAATCATTTATTTCTTCGTTTACTCCGATTAATTTATTTCATTCATTTTAAATTCATTAGCTTGGAACAATGTCTCATTTTATATTTTAAAACGTTTCGTTAGCAAATTTAATTTTTCTGCGGCTCGTCTAGTAAGAAATAGCGAATACACGTTTTTTGAGGTAAAATTTGGTCCGAGAGTGCAATGATCTTGGAGAATTAAGGATGATCAATAGTAGACTAAGAAAAGATAATTGAGGGATTAGGGATGAGTGAGTTAAGTTAAGCTCAATTAGGAGTACTAATGGCCTCCTATTCATTTGTTGAATTTTGGGTACAAAAGCACCTTTATGTCATGTCTTTCTTTCACTCCATCAAATCACCAACTACCACCCAAAACCCTTTCTTCCTCCTCTCTTCTTGGCCGACTCCCCCTCCCCCATTCCTCACCAAAAATTTCAGCTCCTTGTCTTCCATTTTTACTCCAAGAAAACACTCCAATCTTGCTTCTTTTCTTGGTTCATCACACAAGCTTGAAGGGTGATTTGAAGGAGGAAGGAACTTTGGTGGTTTAAGAGCTTATACACTAGTGGTTGGTTTTCATTATTGTAAGCAAGGTAAAACTCCTAAAGCTCTCATCTTTTCCTCTCAAATCCTAGTAGTTAGTTAGTTCTATCTAGTTAGTTTTGGGTTGTTGATGGGTTCACAATAGCCTTGACACTAGGTAGAGGACTTGAGGTGGCTTTATAGGTAGAGGCCTTGAGGATTTTGTGTGTTTACTTGCTTGTTAGATGCTTGTTTTGAGGATTTATGGCTTAGTTTTGGTTGGAAAGTTGAAAAGAAAACTTGAAGAATGGAGGATGCTTGCTGTCCGAATTTTGGATTGATAAATCTCTCATGTTAATTTCAAATTTTGTTGTTATTTTGGTGCTATAATGCTTGATATATGTTGGTGTTTATGTGTGTTAAATATCTTCCAAAAAGCTTTACAATTGGTTAAGTTAAAGTAGGGGAAGTGAGATTGCAAATCTGGAAAATTTTTTAATCAGGAGACCCAACCAATGTTCACGTTTTGGCCCATAACATTTTGTCTGGAATTGAAATCAAGTGCTGTTTATGGCATCTGAAACTAGACTACGAGGGCTTTCCAATGGTATAAAATACACCTCCTAATTCATTTTCTATGAGCCGTAGCGAACCAGCAAAGATGACTGATTTTCCTCACTGTTTTCATCCGAGAAACAGTCATAGCTGTAGTTTGTAGCTCAATTTCACCTATCTTGCAAAACGAATTTTAAGACAGTTCCTTCTATTGATTTTTGAGAATTTTGAATCTAGTTTTCAACGCCGCAAACCACGCTAAATTTTGAGTTGTGTAGCTTTAGGTATGATCAGACTTTGAAACGCTGTCAAGCCTTCAAAACTGGAAATTTCGTGAAACAGGTTCCAAAACTCAGCTTTCTTAAAACTATTGTATCTTGGTGTAGAAAGGTCCGAATTGAGTTCTATTTATTGCATTTGAAACTAGAATTGGATTTCTATTTGTGGTATAAATTTCAAGGGCTGATTCCATTTCTACGAAGTTTGCCGAATTTCCAAACTTTGCTGAAATTGCAAGCCTGTTTTGCTCTGTCCTGTTTGGAGCAGTGACTTTGAGCTAATATTTGAATGATTTTGGATTGGAGTCTGGGAAAAGTGCCTTCTAGTGATTTTTAGTACTTTGAATTTAGTTTCCAACGGTATAAATTTTCCAATTTTTGAACTCATGGAACTCAAGATATGATTTTTCCAAATAGTGTTGCACCAAGCTAGAAATTTTCTGGTTCCAAACAAAGGACTCTTTTAAGCACTTTCAACCTTCCTTTGAGATTGTTAGTCCATTTAAGTTTAATTTCATGGTTGGATACAAGGTCTCTATGAACTTTAAACCCTCATTTTGAATCTTGGTTTCCCAAGGATTAAACCTCTCTTGGTGCATTTTCTTGATTGTTTAACTTTCTTGGTTAATGCCACCTTTTTTAATACTTGAGAAATGGACTTCAATCCCTAGTCTTGTGCCCTTGATTTCCATGAGTTTGAACTTTTAAAAAGGGAGTGTTTTGACTAGAGTAATTCTTGGAGTATTTCACTAGTTTTATACTCGAAATTTGGAACCTTTAGTTTTGACATTTACTATGAAAATGAGTGGAGTTTTGGATGAGTTTTGACTCCATTAGTTTGGAAAATGTGAATGTTTTTTATATTCTAACTTTTGGTCATGAGATTAAAAGTTTTGGGAGATGGAACCATGTACCTTTTTCTCGATTTTCATGCCGAAAGTGAATATGGTACTTTCTTTTGGAATTGACATTTACTTACCATGACATGAATCAAAAACGACTTTTGAGTTCTTTTTGAATATTATTTCAATGATTTAGCGAGAAAAGCTCCTTTAACTTGACTTGAAGTTGTGAT